AGTCTGTTCAGTCTCCCTTTTTGATCTAAAATAGAGAAGTACCCTCTGCCTAGATGACCCCTGTCCCCTGCTGGGGCCTTGCAGTTTTTCTTGGAATTTAATCCAAGTCTAACCTGCAGCCTTATTTTTCTTTGGGCCACAGAGACAAGTGAGAGTTGCCAGCTTCGTAAAGGGTTGTAAAAATAGTCATGACTTAGAGCATGTTGTATGGAAGAGCTTAATATGCCAGGAACAGTGTTATCCCTGGACAATATTATCATTGGCTGTGAGAATGTGTAGGGCTGCTCTGAGACCTTGCAAGGCCTTCTGGCTCAAGAGCACCTGTTGGGTTTAATGAGAAAGAAAGACACTGATCCTTAGTTTCCAGGTGGGCCTTGGGATTCTAGTCAAAGGATATCTGAGGTGGGGGCCTGGCTGGTTTGGGGCCTGAGAAGGAGTTTGAAGGCTTAGTTGTTTTTTCAAACACCGACCCTAAGCCAGACATCAGAACAAGTATTCACCAAGGGTGTTCCTATGTGCCCAGCACCACCTTCCCACCCTGTAGGCAGGGCCTGTTAGAGACTGGAGGGGATGCTCCCCATACACCCACCTCAGCCTGGTTGCAGGAGCACAGAGGCTGCTGGGATGGGATTCCTTATACTGCGCCCCCCCCCACCCTTTTTTAGTTTGGAAAGGATATTACCTAACTAGTTCTAGCTGCACCAACAAGTTTCCCCTGTAACCTTGACCAAGTCCTTTCCTCTCTTTGTACCTATTTTTTTATTTTTATTTTTATAAAACCGAGATACCAGGCTGATGGTTTCTGTCGCTTGTCCAGGTCTGACACTCTTATGCAGGGAGAATAGTGGTCGAAGGTGTGGAAAGCCAGGGCTATGAGCTTTGCTTCAGTTCCAGGAGGCTGCTCTCACTGACCCTTGTCACATCATTGCCTTCCTCTGCTGCCCACGGGTCCAAACTTTCCCATTTCAAAGAGATTAAAGGCCCCCATACTTGCACCAGGGCTGTAGCTCTCTCCTTCTTTCCAGGTGGGGGCTGGTGAGTGAAATTCTCCCTCCCTCCCTTTCTCTGCCCAATGGGCCTTGCCTCTGTCCCACATCCCTGCCATACTTCTGTGCTGCTCTGCGATATCCACCTCCAGACCTGAGAGATGCAGGGTGAGATGGGGAGCAGGTCTGCAGGGGCTGCGCCTGCCAATCACACCAGCTGTTCCTTTCAAACCCTGCCTCCCACCACTGCCTGAGACTGTGATCTGGTGGCTGATAACTGCCTGGGGCCTCTCCCTCTTGGCAGCTTGGGAGATAAGCAGGGCAAACTGGAGTCCTCAACTGACTTTCCCCTTTCCTTTTAAGGAGAGCAGGTGGGGAGCTTTCTCTCCAAAGACCCCACCTCTTCTGCAATACACGTGGGCTCCGGAGTGGGAGTATCTGGGTTCGAATCTCCATTCCTCCACTTTCATCTGTGTGTTCTTGAACTAGTTACTTTATTTCTCCAAGTCTCTTTTCCACCATCTTTAAGATGAGGATAATAATATCTTCCTTAAAATGTTGGTTTTTAGATTTAATGAGACTATCCATGTTGTAGATCTAGCACAGTGTATGGACCACTGAAAGCACTCAATAAGACATTAGCTATTATTATTATGACCATTATTATTATGTTTTGTTGTCAGACTGAATGGAATCTCCAGAGGCTATTTTATTTGTCGTTCTGTTTCCTCCAGGCCAGTCGTGTCCAAATTTGTCTGCTCATTAAAACCACCTTGGTCCTTTTAAAAATTCCAAAGCCCAGATTATACCCCAGACCAGTAAAATCCAGTCTCTAAGGGTGGGCCCCGGCACCAGTGGTTTTGAAGCTGTCCAAGTGACTCCAACGTGTAGTGAGTTTAGAAACCACTGCTCTAACGCTGTCCGACCAGTTGAGGGGTTTCCTTTAGGGATAGCAATTTGTCCTAAAAACTTCATCCACCATCTAATATTAACCTGGGGTTTAGTATCCCCTTTAGGACAAGTAAAACCTCTCTTGCCTTACTTTAAGCTAATTTTCTCTTGTTTTGAGGGAGTAGAGAATAAATGCCACCTTACATCAAAGGATAAGTTAGTAGTATTTGCTGGGCATCATACTCTCAGTCTTCAGGGAGTGACAGCAGCCCCCCAGAGACGACATAGCTGACAGGAGATGGGCTAAAGTATTGGTTTTGGTTGGTGGCAGCTGGTCATGGCCAGAGATCAAAGAGGTCTTTCTGAATTCTGCTGCCTGGGGCTTCCTCTTTGATCACAATTTCGTAATTCCCTACATTCAGAATGAAGGTAAATATAAGCTCAGTGAATATCCTGTTTTTTTAGTTGGCAGTAGAGACATTTGTAAAGGGGTTAATTATGTGCGTTCTTCCTGACAATGGTTGAAGGTGAGCGAAGCAAAAAGCCTTGCAGCATGTGAAAGAGAGATGAGCTCCAGTGAGTGGCCTGGAGTCTTCAGGGAAGGCTGCGGGGAGTGGTGGGGAGGGAACTCCACTTGTATGACTCTTCGGAGTTTCCAATGTACTCTTCCGTATTCGATTTCAGCTACTCATCCTAGTCTCCCGGTGAAGCTGGTATTTTATTCTTATTTTACAGGCCAGGAAACTGAGGCTCAGGGAGTTAAATGCCCATCCAGGCTGGAAGGGGCAGAACCAGGATTCAAAGCCAGATGTTCAAAGGATCTAAGGATCTTTCATCATACCACTGTGGATTCCTGCCTGGGACCCACCTTCCCTTCTCCAGATACCTTCTGCCTCTTCTCTCTGCCTCTACCGGACTCAGAATCCTTGCCTTCAGGCAACTCTTTCACAGGGACGCATCCCAATCCCTAGCTCCACTTCCTTTGCCTTCCTCTAGTCCTACTGGTTTTCTCCTTCTGTCTCCTGTGCCTGGGGGCTTCCCTCTCCTACTAGAAGCTCTCTGACGCGGTTAGGGTCAGGATTAGGACTATGGAGACCTGAGGTGCCAGGACTTGGGTGGCAACTGTCCTGATTTGCCCAGGACTATCCTGGTTTGAGCACTGAAAGTCCAGGCAATGTGGAACAGTTAGTCATCTACCAGGATCTGAGAGTAGCTATAGTGTTGTGTGCTTTTTCACATGCCTTAAAGCATTGACTCCTTGAGAAATAGATACTCTGATTTTTTTAAGTATCTGAGATTCTGGAGTAGGCGACTTGCCTAAGACCGCAGGCCAGTAGAAGCAGGGCTGGGAGCTGAAACCAGCTCTCTTGACAGTAAATTTCAGGCTTACTCTCTCTTCTATCTCACAGTGTCTCCTGGAGACGGTCCACTAAACAGTTTCTGAGCAGATATGAAGGTGTGGAGGCTTGAGGCTGCCCACAGATTCCCTCCCAGTCCTAGGATGCTTTCTCCTCACCGCTGCTCTCTGACACCTCTCCCACCACCCACCTTTCCCCACCTCTACAGCTGTTGGCAGCTGTGATTTCAGCCTCAACTTTTGCAAAACTATTTACTTATTGCAAAATACAAAAGAAAAAGATATTTAAAATATTAGGAAAAAACCTTTCTATAATCTCTGCATTCTTAATTTTTATGAGTCCATAGCACAGCCTCCATTGTGTATTTAGCTTCCTTCATTTAACATTGTATCACTAGTGTTTCCAATGCTGCTACATGGTCTCCATGATGATCATTTAAAATAATTGTATCCCAGGGGGCAAGCCATCATTTAGCCATTTTTCTGGGTGTGGACATTTGTTTCCCCTAATCATCATCATTGTCATCATCATCAAGTTTTGGATGATGGCTAGCATCTATTTGAGCCCAGAGGGCAAGCACACATTTTTGTTGGTCAACACTGATGTTTGTTGAATGAGTTTTGCCTCCTGCTTGCTGTCTGGAACAATGTTTCCTAGAACATGGCCCCACACAACAGCACTGGTCCAGGGCTCTTCGTTACTGGTTTGAGAGGAGATAAACACGGAATTTGAGGACAAGTGTTTAAGAAATTAATTAAAAGAATTTTCTTTTCCTTTTAGGAAAAGAACAATTTTATGTCTGTTGAATCTAAAATAAAAATCAGGGCCTATGTTTTGTATATATATATTTTTTAAAAATCTCCTGTTAAGGGTAATTAATTTTTATTCTATTTTTCAAAAGCATTGGTCTATAATAGATTGGAAATGAAGAGAAAAAGAGAGGTTTTGGGATAGTTTGTCTTTTGGTCTAGAAGACAATGTTAGGTCCTGGTAGATGCTAGGTAAATCTACAACCACAGACCATCAGTGCTACAGGACCTCATCTGTTTTGTATTTGAGCAGCCTGAGGTGTGTAGAGAAGCAATGATGTACTCAGCAAAATGTGGGCAGTGTTGGGCACAGTCCCCCGGCTTCCACTTGGAACCATTGACCACAATATTGTATCTTTATGTGATTAAAATTTGGGCTGTGCATGGCGATGATAACAGTGGGAAGCAGAAGCATGGAGTGGGGAGGTCAGAATAAAACTTTTGCCTCACCATAATTCTGTGGCAGCAGATGTCTCTACCTGTGTCCCCACTTTGGCCTTGAGGCAGCTAGACAACCCTTAGCATTACCCTAGATCTTCTAGGTGCACCCCCAAAATAAACAACTCAATGGTGGAGTTTCTTAGGAAGATATTAACAAATGATTCGGGGGAAACTTGTAGAGGAGTTTCCAGCAACTCGATCCTGAGAGATTATTGCACTCTGATCTCTAAATGGCAAGAGATGAATGATAAATGATCAAGTTGGGGAAGTTTGTCTACAGTGCAATTTCGGCAACTCACAGGTATGAGGTTTCAAACAGATGCTGCTGGTAGACAAATTAAACATAAATACTTTCCTCCCAGGATTGAGAAGGTGCCCCGCCCAGTGAATGCATGTATATATAGGAACTGAGCCAGATCTCTTGCAAAGGAGTCATCGCTCCTTCCCGCCCCTGTCTCTGCCTCCTTTCAGCTGGGGCCTTTCTCGCGTCTGCTTGCCTGGATGCTCCAGCAACCATGAGCCGCCAGTTTAGCTCTCGGTCGGCATTTAGCTCAAGGAGCAGGAGGGTTTACAGCCTTGGCTCTTCTGCACGCTGTGGTGGTGGGACTCCGGCAGTGTGTCAGGCCCGAGGGAGGTGTGGCGGTGGTGGGTATGGAAGCCATGTGAGGGAGTTTGGCTCTCGGAGCCTCTTCAATCTGGGTGGCAGTAAAAGCATCTCCGTTAGCCTAGTGGAGAGAAGCTCCAGTGGTTTCCGCCAGGGTGGGGGAGCAGGCGGGGGATTTGGAGGGGGCAGAAACTTTGGGGGGGGTGGTGGTTCTGGAGGTGGTGGTTTTGGAGGTAGCACCTTTGCTGGTTTTGGGGGTGGAGGCTCTCGAGGCGGCAGCTTTGGAGGGGGCGCCTTTGGGGTTGGTAACTTTGGAGGTAGTGGCTATGGCGGAGGTAGTTTTGGGGGTATCGGGTTTGGGGGCAGCAATTTTGGGCTTGGGGGCTTTGGTTCTTCTTGTCCCCTGGGGGGCATCCAAGAGGTGACCATTAACCAGAGCCTGTTACAGCCACTTCACCTGGAAGTGGACCCTGAAATTCAGAGGATCAAGACCCAGGAGCGGGCGCAGATCATGGTTCTCAACAACAAGTTTGCTTCTTTCATTGACAAGGTGAGTGCTTCAGGGGCAGGCGGAGTCTCTGGTTCCTGACCAAATGACTGAGAGGGCCTTATTGTCCTGCCACCTCTACCCACATTGTGCTGTTTCAGTTTGGTGGTGACAGTCACTTCCAATGTGTGTGTCCTGGGACCTTAAGGAAGGATTTACCTTATTTAGGCCTCATTTCAACTTAATGAGGGAATTTATCTCTATCTTTTCCTTTTGGCAGGAAAGCAGATAAAAGGTGTAAAAATACTCGATAGACAAAATACATGGTGTAGTAACCTCATTCCCATTCATCATTGTTTACTTTCCATTCATCCATCCCACAAACCTTTATTAAGCATCTACTATACGCCAGACACTATGCCACAGGGGTGACACAGGTCCTACCCTCAAGGAGCCTTAGCAGAGCCTAGGTGAATGCCCTGGTAGATACCTCTGGGGGCTAAAGTCAACAGCATACTAAGTAGGATTCTGACTGAGTTCCTCATTTTAGCTTGGTAAGGGCCAACAATGGGCCAGATGAAGCCACTGAAGCTTCTCTCCCTAGTTTCCTGATTAAACCTCAGGTTAGGTCTGGTCCAGGCCCAAAACACTGAGCAGAGGCTGGTGGAAGACCTATGGTAAACATTTTCCTCCAGCATTTCCTTTTGTCCAGAGGTGGAGGCAAGGCAGCTCCTGTAGATTCCCCAGAAGGATTTTTGCCCTTGCGGGTGTAGTAGGAAACACCCTTGGCACAAAGGCCCCTGGATGCTCGGTGACTTTCCCTCAGTTCCCCTAGGAGTTCTGTGTTGAGGTCAGAGCTTGACTGGCCTGTGGTTGACTGCAGTGTAGCCAATGGCCAAAGTCCAGCACTGGGCTGTGTATCAGACCTCTGATATCTGGGCAAATGCTGGGGACAGGACAGAGTGTGTTAGCTGCAGTAGGGAGGCCTAGAGATAGCCAAAAAGGAGTTCAACAGAGCTAAGCGCTTCTGGCTAATTCTGATCATCTTGGATGGGAAATTTAGCTGAATATCATCCACCTCAGGCACAGGCAGAGACTGGGAGGGCTTAACTGGAGCAAAGAGGTGATAGGTGAAGGAGAGAGCGCTGAAAGGTTAAGGCTAGGCCAAGGGAAGAGCAGGGACAGGAGTGGGCTGGAGGGGGCAGGGGTCAGTGAAATGGCTACAGACTGCTGGCAGCTGATCTGAGACTCTTATTTGACTGTGGTTCCTGCCTTTACGAGGGCATCTATTCACTTTTGTGGCGTGGGACTGTGGGATGGGGCCAAGATGCAGGAAACTGTGGCTTCTCTTCCTTCCCCGAGGGCATGGCTTATGGTGACCATGAGGAGAGAATCCTCATGCAGGAGGGTTCTGGCCTGGCTAGAAGGGAGAAGCCTTCTATTGCAGTGACTTCTGACCCTAGTTTCTGATCTGGTCCTCTTGCTTTTACCCTTAACCCCATCCAGCTTCTTCCTAGCACCACACGAGAACCATCCTTTAAAAATATCACATCACTTCTCCATTTGAATCCTCCATTGGCTTCTTATCTCATTTAGAATAAAAACTAAGATCCTATAAGGCCTTGTATGATCTGGCCCTCTAACCCACAGCGGCTGCTGACCTCCGGCTTGCATTTGTGAGAACTAGGCAACATTGCCACCACTGGATGGAACAGCTCTTCAGCCTCGAGGTTTAGTAAACAGAGTGAGGGATGGAATTTAGCTCCCCAGGGTATAAACTCACTGTTTGCAGTGGCCTTGCTCTCCCTCTCAGCCTCTTCACCTGCTCTCCTCTTGCTTACCAGCGCACTATCGCATTCTTGCATCCTCCCGAACCCTAAACATGGTCCTGCCTCAGGGCCTTTGCACTTGCCATTTCTTCTGCTTGAAACTCCTCTCTCCAAAGAGTGGGCTGGCTTTCCTTACCACCTACTTCAGGTCTGTGCTCAGATGCCACTACCTTAGTGAGGGCTTCCCTGATCTCCCTGTTTAAACTGGCTCCCCCAGCCCAGCATCCCTATCCACTAGCCCTGTGTTACTTTTCTCTATAGCCACGACAGCCATTTGACACTGCATGTGTCACATTTCTTTACAGTTATGTCTCTGAATAGAATTTATACTCCTGAAAAGCAGAGGTTTGTCTGCTTTGTCTATTAATTAATCTCTAGCATCCAGAATAGTGCCTGACACATAATTGGTCAATAAATCTTTGTTGAATGAAATATTGAGTCCGCCCTCCAAGTGTCAGCCTTGACCCTCAGAGAGTAGGAAAAAGTCCTTTTTAGAACCAATGACAAGAGAAAAGGATTTCAGGAAGGGGGGGGAATCCAGCCCTTCCCATGGGGACACTGGCCTGACTTTGTTCAGCTGACCTAGAATCCACTATACCAGGGTAGTGAGTAGCCTGGATAGTCTACACTAGCAGGCAATTCCAAAGCCCTTAGCATTTCATTAGTTTGTGATACTCATGAACTGTCTTCTCTGTGGTAGGCTCTGCGTGTCCATGGGTCTCAACACCTTGTGTCTGCTGGAGAACAAAGCAGACATGAGTTTGCCTTCCTGGGGCTCATACCAAAAGACTGCAAATTACAATAGATGCCACAGGGGGAAAGGACAAGCGCTGATGAAGGGAAGACACCAGGGGGATGTCACTTTCGTTGAGATCTAAAAGGTGTAAAGGGGAGATCTGGGCTGCTGGAAGAGACCGGGAGGTCTCTGTGGCTGGAACGTTGTGAGCAGAAGAGCATAAGAGGCCGACTGAGGTGTGCTTGTTCCAGTCAGAAGTTTAGCTCAGCATGATGCTAAGTTTTATCTGTGTTAGCTGAGCTTCCCCTAAGTATTGCTGATGAGAAACACAGATGAGGAGTATTGGGGCGGGGGGCCTGGAGAAAAATCACAATGGCTTTCAATGATTTTTCTAGTGGTTAAATCCCATTAAAATTGCCTGGTGTTCCCTGAAGCCAGCCTCTTTGACTGGGGCACGGGGTTGGAGGGGGGACTCAGCCTAAGCCCAAAGCACCCAGAGTTGTCCGAGTGGCCCCTCATTGTTTGATGTAGGGGTTCCCTGTGAGACCAGAAGATTCTTTCTTCTGGTCCCCACAACACAGAGCACAGAGCTGTGAATGAGTATCCAATAGATCTCTCCACTCCCTGGGAGTGCCACCAGAGTAAAAATAGGCCAGGTGGCAGGAATTTCTCACTGGGGTGTTAGGAACTGTGCTGACAAACCTGTGAGAGCTGTTTGCCTTATCTCTTGCTTTGATAAGTCAAACAAAATGAGCCACAAGAGATAGTGTTCTCTGTGCACATTTTCCAGCCTAGAGTCAAACTCAAAATGAGTTAACAAAGGCTGGACCATTGGATGGGCACTTTCAGGGCTGGGGATTCTGGGTGCCCTCTTTAGTGCCATATTGTAGGGGAGTGTCTTCAGGGTTCTGTTCTGCAGCACAAGCAGTGGGTTTGCCCCATATGCAGGTCCTAGACTGACTCTGGAGGGTGTGTGTGTGTACACACCTTAGCAAAGCATAGAGACATCCATGATCTTCCCTTAAGACATGGGGGGTAGGGGGATCCATCTATGGGCAGCCAGCAGAGGAAAGGTGAGGGTTGATCATTATCATGCAAAGAACAGTCTGCGCACTTGGTCTGCACGGCCAGCAAGCTCTCTGGACCCGGTACCTGACTTTTGTGTCCACGGTTTTGAGGAAGAGGTGGCGAGAATATCGGGTGATAGCTACTTTCTATTCTCTATGTTAATGAAGGAAATAGCAACCTGGGTAGTTCTTGAACACTAGACAACCCCAAAGTCATGACTTTGGGGTGCCGGAGTGCATTACACAACACGAACAAAATGAGAACATTTACTTTTAAAATTCGGTGTGAGTTATAAGAGCATTTAAATGAGGCGACCTTCCTGAAAAATACTGGTGGACAGCAAAGGCAGTAGGGCCTGCAGGGCGAGGATACGCAGGCAAGTCTGCTCAGAAATCAGTTTAATGTTCTAAGCCAAATTGTTCCCTTCCTCTTCTTATTTCCTCCTTCCTCAGTCACACAAATCAGCGGTCCCCAATCTTTTTGGCACCAGGGACCCATGCTCCTATGAGAAGCTAATATCTGATGATCTGAGGTGGAGCTGAGGCAGTGATGCTAGCGCTGGGGAGCGGCTGCAAATACAGATGAAGCTTCACTTGCGTGCCCGCTGCTCACCTTCTGCTGTGCGGCGCAGTTCCTAACAGGCCATGGACTAGTACCGGTCCATGGCCCAGGGGTTGGGGACCCCCGACATAAAGCATTTAAACCACAAAGAGAAATGAGCCTTGGATATATCAGCGCTTCAGATGCTCCGATCACCATTTCCTTATGTCGATATGGATAAACCGAGTGCAACTCTGTGATGTAAATGCAGGGAGCTAAAGGAAACAATTTCAGTTGGAGGGATTTACCTTCAAAACCGGAATTAGCTTAATGTTAATTTTAAGCCAGTTGATCTTATAGTTATTTGTCAACTGTCAGGTACCACACTGCGCTCTTGTGTGTGTCCTGGGCCCAGAGAAAGTTACGCTCTCTGACCTTACAGGGGCCCTCCTGATTCTCTGGGTTCTGGATATGCTGTGGGGCTGCCCGTGCTCCTCCTGGTGGAGGTGCTTCTCAGACCACTGCCTGGGGTTAACTTGGAGGCCTCTTGCTCTTAGGTGCGATTGCTGGAGCAGCAGAATCAGGTGCTACAAATGAAATGGGAGCTGCTGCAGCAGATCAACACATCGACTCGGACCAACAACCTGGAGCCGGTCTTGGAGAACTACATCGGCGAGCTGAGGAGGCAGCTGGAGTTTCTCAACGCAGAGCAGATGCGCCAGAACATGGAGATCCTGAGCGCGCAGGATGCCGTGGAGGACTACAAGAACAAGTGAGGCTCCAGGCGGGGCAAAAGGCTCAGGGAGAAGCATGGCAGGGAACTGATTCACGGGGTAAGATGTTCTTCTGAGTTTAATGTGTAAAGGGTGAGAGCAGGCCCGCCAGGCACAGCCATGCAGGCTCTGAACTGGACACAACTGCAGGGGGCACCATTTTGCGTGTGGTACAATTAATGGCTGACTGGCAATATCATCCAATAGGTATTGCCAGGATGGTATTGCCAGTCAGCCGTTAATTGTATTGCGTGGGGAGGGGCAGGCTAGCTTCATGGATGTTGGTACCAGATAAGCCTCAGTTTTGGTGTGGGCTTTGCTACTTTCTGGCTGCCTACAAACTCATCTGTCTAAGCCTTTAGTTTTCACATTAGTAAAGTGGGGATAGTAAGTATCCTCCTTGTTGGACTGTTGTGAGAAATAGATCCATGGCTCTCAAACTTTAGTATACTTCAGCTTGTTAAAATCAGATTGCTCGCATAGGTCTGGGATGGGGCTGGAGTGTTTGTGTTTCTAATGTTTCCAAGTGATGCTGATGCTGGGGGACTGGGGATCACACTTTGAGACCCATTGGGTTAGATGAAATTATTCTTAATAAGTTGTTAGGCTGTGTCTGCACATAATAAGCACTCAGTATGCACTATTACTAATGAAAAGGATATGAATGACAGGACTTGTCTAATTCTAGATCAGCTGCTCCTGCATCTTGCAGACAATGGAGTGGCCCCTCCCTCCCCATGCTGGGGGTGCAGGGTGATTCTCTTAACATTACCTTGACATGCTTACTGCATTGGGCCGGTACAGGGTCATGTGTGTGTGAGATGACAAGGGAGAAGTAAAATTGTTGCGGGGCAGAATGATGGGTGATTTTTTTTTCTCTTTTAAAAACATATAGCAAAAAGTGGTTACTTTAAGTTCTCAATTAAAGAGAATGATTGAGCTTGACAAATGTACAAGTAAAAATGGGGGCATTCTATGTGGTTCTGGGTTTTCCACGTTGGGTTGTTTTCCCCTTTGTTGACCTGGAGAACCAGGAGCTGGCTCCAGCTGCTTGTCAGTGAGAGCAACAGGCCCTGGAGGGAGCAGCCAGAGTCCAGGACAGTACAAATTTAAAGAATTCTAAGCCTCTCACTGCAAGGAAAAATCTCAAGGAGCCAAGGTCAGCCCCTGCAGCCTGTCTGTGTTTCTTACCTCCTCCCACAGATACGAGGAAGAAATCAACCAGAGGACCAACAATGAGAATGACTTCGTCATCCTGAAGAAGGTGAGGGATGGAGGTGTCCCAAGGGGGACCGTGAGCCCAGGAGGCTGAGCAGGGTGAGGAATTCCTGTGGGATGCTTTGTGACTGAGGAATAGACAGGGTGACCTTGAGGGCTGGCTTGTCCCAAATGCTGGGACTCTTACACCAAAGGGGAAAGTCTGAAAGTGGTGCTAACATAAATCTTTAGGAATCCTTGAGTTTTTAATCTGTCCAGGATCCTGAAAGTGAAATTAAATTAACAGACAGCTTTTGAGTGTTAGTTATACGTGGCCTTGGGACCTGGAGAGGGACCTGGTGTGTTGTGTGTGATTGACTGAGATGAAGAGCTTGGTGTCACACTTCCTTCAGGCCAGAAAAGGTGAAGTTTGCAGGTCTCTTATTTGAGTGAGGGGAGGAAATTTGCAGGTGAGGAAATAAACCCAGAGGCCTTTGCCACTTGCCCAGTCCACCTAGTTGGTGATGACACGTAACACCTAGCAAAAAAGTCAGACTGTCTTTGCTTGCTGTTCAGGATGTGGATGCTGCCTATATAAGCAAAGTGGACCTGCAGTCCAAGGCGGATGTTCTGTCTGGGGAGGTCAATTTCCTGAAATACTTATTTGAGATGGTGAGTTCAGTCCTTATGAGAAACCCTTGCCTTTTCTAATATCTCACAAGAGGTATGGGCTGTAAGACAGGGGAGGCCTGAAACCCAGCGTTGCCCACTAGGGACTCCTCTCCTCAGTCTCCTCAACTCCGTGAGCGTACAGTCAACCATCCTCTCAAGCCCCAGTGCTCAGGATTCCTGGGAGCGGGGACTGGAGATGAGAGGCATGGAGAATCTCAAAGCAGGAGAAGGTAAAGAAAGCTGTCCCTGCTTCTGTCTGGGAAATGAAGTTAACACCGGGGACACACAGGGACAAAACCAACTAGAAATCTTCATCAGCACTGGCAAGTTGATGGGGCTATTAGGGAACTCCAAAGGAGAGGAGCGTGTGGATCTTAAAGGGGATGAAAATGAAGACTGCAGTGGTGGGGGATAATGCTCTTACCACCCCTGATCCTGCGGTCACCCATGTCTACGCTGGGGGCACGGCTCTGGGCCAGATGCTGTACTAAGAGCTTTACTTAGTCCTGGGTATCTCTATTCTGCAGATGAAGAAACTGAGACAGAGAGAGATTCAATCACTTGCTCATTTACCCAGCTAGTCAATGGTAGAGCCCAGACTCAAAAGTGAGTGTGAGTGGCTACATAAGTGGAGTTCTTTCTACTGTCTCTGAGAGCTCCTGTGGTTTTGAGGAGCAAGTCTGCTTGTCAGAGGGCCCAGTTCAAGATGGTGGCCAAGCCAGAATAAGGCAGAAATACAGGGCACAGGAATGGCATGATGGGCAGGTGGTGTCTACAAGGGCTCTGAGTTCAGGCTCTTTATTCTCCCTGGAGGCTAGGTCTGGGTACCTTCCCCTTTTGTTAAGGTGCCTCTCAGTGCACAAAAACAATTCAAAGAACTTTCCCCTAAGACTCCCACCTGGCCCAGACTTCTGGCTTCTCTGGAGAGCCTTCAGGGGCAGAAGAGGGAAACCGAGGTCCCAGGAGGACAGTGGGAAAAGTCAGCTTGTGGTCCATGCCTTGCAGGAGCTGTCTCAGATGCAGACCCACATCAGTGACACCAACGTCATCGTGTCCATGGACAATAACCGCTCTCTGGATCTGGACAGCATCATCGACGCTGTGCAGGCCCAGTACGAGATGATCGCACGGAAGAGCAAGGAGGAGGCCGAGACGCTGTACCAGAGCAAGGTGGGCACTGCCGCCCCCTGTCCAGACTCGATGCTCAAGCCAAACGTAGCTCCAGGACTTGTATCGTCTTCCTCTTATTTCTAAAGTAAAACATGTTTGTTATAGAAAACTTAGAAATTACATATAAAGATCATTCATCTCCCTCCACTACTATTAATGTTAACGTATTTTCTACCAGTTTTTTGCAGCTAACATTTATTGAAAACTCATATGTGCCAGGTGCTACACTAGCAGCATTATACATATTATTTCATTTACTCCTACAACAGTAAGGATAATTTCATTATCCTTGTTACATATGATTAAAGTGCGAGATTGCCTACTTTCTCTAAGGTCTTGTGGCTGGTAAATGGCGCAGGCAGAACTGAATTAAACTCAGGTGTGCTGTCTAGCAACCCATGCTCTCAACCATTATAATGTTTGTATTCTTATTTTTCCAGAATGAGATCTTTTAAAATATAGTTTTGTATTTTTCTTTTACCTGCCACTTTGAATACCTTTCTGTGACGTTAAATATTCTACATCATTTTTATTAACAGCATGGAATCTACAGTAAGAATATATTCTCGTTTATCAGATAAACATCTTTGAAATTAAGGCTTTGGAAACAACTTTGGTTACTTCTTTAACATATGATGACTTGGACATTTTTGGAGGGTGAAAACTCTGTGGTTAAGGGTCAGAGCCAGTCACTAAATTCTGAACACCTGGCACTTGATATCTGCTTTGTGGATGGATTACCTGTGGCCAACTCCAATCTTGACTGGCCTCTGTCCCACTGTCCTGCAGGCAGATGTTCCGAATGGCATGATTTTCAACATCAGACTGGGGAGGCAGATGGCCAACAGTGAAAACTCCAGAATGCAGAGAGTCCCTTAGCCAACCCTCCCCATTGTTTCCTTGAGTCATGGCCTGTGGATAGAGTTCCTATTGCTGGGGACATGTAGATGCAGAAAAGGAGATAGAGAAAGAGATTCAAATAAACGAGAAGAGTGCCAAGTGCCCCTGAGGAAATGAGGGCTTGACTTCTAGGGAAAACATTCTGGAAAATGGTAGGAAGGAATATGGCGGGGTGGAAAAAGTATGTGGTGGGGAGGGACCCAGAGTGGATAAGGACCAGTGTGAAGGCTTAGATATGGGAAAAAGATGTAGGGCTGGCCCAGAGACTGGTGGTAATGAGGGCGATTTGATATAGGTGTGTGCGTGTGCGCGTGGTCACAGCTCAGATGAGGGAGGTTTGGTACAGATGTGAGTGTGTGTGTGGATATAGCTCTGTGGGTGGGGCTTACTCTGGGCAGTTTCCCAGGGGAGAGTGGTCTTGGGCAGTGTCTGGGAAGGCAGACCCACTCCCTCCTGAGGGGGGGGGTAACTCATGGTGAGCAGCAGGCTGACCATGATGCTGCCTTTGACCCTCAGTACCAGGAGCTCCAGATGGTGGCGGGAAGACATGGAGACAACCTGAAGAATAACAAGATGGAGATTGCAGAGCTCAACCGCACCATCCAGAGGCTTCAGGCAGAGATCAGCAATACCAAGAAGCAGGTGAGATGGGTGCTCAGGGTGGGCTGGCCAGACACATTGCCTCCCATGATGCCCTGCCTAATGGGGCTTCTAAAACTCAGCCTCCCACATTCTTCTTCTCCATGACCATCTCCTGAGCAGCTTGACCAGATGCACACAGCCATTTCGGATGCAGAGGAGAGAGGACAGCGGGCCCTCCAAGATGCAGGGCAGAAGCTGCAGGACATGGAGGAGGCCCTGCAGCAGTCCAAGGAGCACCTGGCCCGGCTGCTGCGTGACTACCAGGCGCTGCTGGGAGCCAAGCTGTCCCTGGACGTGGAGATCGCCACCTACCGCAGGCTGCTGGAGGGCGAGGAGAGCAGGTGGGCAGTGTTTTGGGGCTGAAGTGCAGGTTGTGCCCCTGGAGCAGTGGGACTGACTATTTGGAGAGAATAGCTTTTTTTGGGAAGATTGGAAATTCAGGGTAAGCAGAAACATTCAAGTCAGAAGTGGAGGATGTGTGATTTGGCAGGGTCATTGTCATCATTCTCCTGCCTCTAAGCAGAATGTCCCTATATCCCAACCCAAGCCATTGCAACCAGGTGGTGACCCCCACCACCCCAATGCTAACAGGCTTCAAGAAAATGCTTAAAATCCCCGCTGGCCCTACTGGCCCCCTCACCTCCCTGCCTATACACTCACCTTTCCCATGTACAACAAGGCTTGAGGACAGCTCTCGCTTCCCCTGGAACATCTCTGCTCCTGATGTCACCAGCTGCTGCCTGCTTTCCTTCTGGCTCTGCAGGTCTGGCTGATGTGTGTGCTTTGGTTTTACAGGATGTCAGGAGAGCTGCAGAGCCTCGTGAGCATCTGTAAGTAGCAGAGCCCAGGGCTGGGGCTGGTTGGTGCTGAGTGGAGGGAGGGCTCAGCAGAGTTGCCCAGCAGGGAACTGGCAGTGGGCACTTTAGATTCCAGTCCTACACAATGAGAACCAAGTGAACAAACACAACTGCAAAGCCTGGGGAAATTCGCTGAACTGAATTATGATTTTAGCTCTTCTTTACCTTAATTTTTACGATCCCTAATAATCAGCATGGCTTAGAGCTCTCTAAGATACCTCAATAATGAAAATGAGTCCTGACATCTCTTAGTAGCATGAAGAATACTTTGGAAATAGGAATACTTTCATCCAATATATCTTTTTGAAAGTCAGATGCTGCCCGTGATAAAAGATGTAGGCAGCTGCCCCCAGGGTGGGTGCAGGTGGGTCCCCTGTCCAGTTTTTTGACCATTGACTATGCTGCCCTCTCCTCCACAGCTGTGCAGAACAGCCAGATGACCATCAGCGGAGCACAAGGCAGCGGTGGTGGAGGCTCTGGAGGTTACGGTGGCAGCAATGGCAGCAGCTGGGGCTATGGTGGTGGCAGCTCCTTTGGGGGTGGTGGGGGTTATGGAGGGGGTTCCCGAGGGGGCAGTGGAGGTGGTTATGGGAGCCACAACAGCGGGAACTACGGAGGGAGCAGTAAAGGCAGCAGCAAATACGGAGGCAGAAGCGGCGGCTCCTCTCGCCTGCAGATTATCCAAACCTCTACCAACACCTCCCACAAGCGAATCGTGGAATAGAGGCGGTCGCTCCTGTCCCCTCCTCCACATCCTTCTGACTCCGGCTCACTTATCTTTTTCTGATGGGTCTCAGCAGTTTTGCCAATAAATTTCACTCTAGATGGGGTAGCAGGCGGGTAACCCTAAACAGCAAATCAATCTATGAAGGGCACTGGCTGGCAGTCAGAACACAGCCAGTCACATTCTCAACTTAGACTCCACCCAGCTGGCCCTGCTTCCGTCCCTGGGGACACCCAGAGCCCAGTTTAGTCATGGAGTAGAGAGCATCCCAAGGCAGACGATGAAGAGTCAGTGTCAAGCATACCAGGTTTCTCAGTCCCAGGCTCCCTTTCCTATACCTGAGTTGCCCCAGGAATGAGAATCCATGCTGCAACGACCCACAAAATGAGGCTTTTAGGTGACTGGCTGATGACAAGGCAAGGTAGCTTGGTAAGGGGCTCCTGGGTGCCAGAGACCAATTCTTGCCTTTTGGTCTGTAGCCTCACACTATGGTGTTGATAGAGAGTATGAATTGGCTGCTCACATCTGACACCTGTAAGTCATGTCTGGACCTGATTCTGAATCTCTATCTCAAGAAGCATTATTCTCTGGGCTAGCAGCTCCAGGTGGGGGTATTTCAGAGGGCACAAGTCCTTGGCCACAGAGAGGACTGTAATGAGCAGTGAATGGAGGATTCGACAGACAAGCAATCGGATTCTGTTCTGTCTCGCCCCTCCAGAGAGCTCCATTCTTTGGAAGCATGGCCCTTCCTGAACTCTGCCCCATAACAGCCCTCCTGAGAATTGTCCAACAGACTGGGCACATGCAGCCCAGCTTTGCTCTGTCTAGGTGTGCAGGCCCTGAGGAGTTTGGGGTTAAGACTTGGGTCTTGGGAGGTTCAGTTCTGAACCAGGTTGCAAGCTGCCTGTTATTTGTAAGGTAGCTTAGTGC